TGCCCTGGAGATAAGACTGGGGCCCAGCTGTCTTCTCATCCAAGGAGGAGAAGTGAGGCAGGCCCTGCAGGTAGACTTGGTGCAGTGCGGTCTTTGTAGGTCTGCTGGTAGGTAGGGAGGCAGGGCTACATTCTGCATAGACAATTTCTCTTCATTCCATTCTCTCTTCCCTCCCCTCCCTTCCTTTAAATCCTATATATATGATATATATGTATATATCATATATATGTATAAATCATATATATGTATATATATCATGTATGTATAAATCATATATATATATATATATAATATGTTATTTGTCCCTTAGGAAGGTATAGGGGAGGGAATGGGGAAAGAGGAGACTATTACTGATCTAGGCAGCCACAAACAGACCAACCGAGAGACAGACACAGATACAGACACAGAGAGAGGAACAAGTCAGGATCTCCTAAGTCCAGAGTCTTCATGAACAATTTTGATCAGAGGCACCTGGAAAGAATGTAAAATTGAGCAGAATAATGGTTGAATTCTCATAACACTCCAGGATTCTCAGTGTTTCCTGGACCCTGTGAGTAGTGTGAGGGAAGCACCACAAGGGCTGTTGTCATTGAAATTGGACTCCAGTGATTGTGCCCTGGCTAGGGTGGGTTTTGAAGGGTGATGGAAATTGATGTAAAATGGGTGTGGTTACAGTTGTCCCTAGGCGATAGACTCCTGTGACAGATTTCAAAGACCTCCATAAGAAACAAATGAGGTGCTAGAGAGATGACTCAGCAGTTAAAGCACTTGCTGCTCTTCCAGAGAACCTGGGTTCGGCTCCCAGCACCCATATGGTAGCCAATACCTGTCCTTAATTACGGTTCCAGGGGATCCAACGCCCTCTTCTGGCCTCCTCCTCTTCAGGCATGTACATAAGTGCACAGATTTTTCAGTTTTATTCAAGTACTTGAATACATGCCAAATGCCAACTACACTGAAGATACTGGGGGATGCAAGGATAAATCAGAGCTTAACCTCGGACTCAGGCTCTTTGTATCTAAGAGTCACCAATAGCTGCACCCCAATAGGGAGGGCAGTAAGGGCATGAAGAGTACAAAGTATACTGAGGAAACCCAGAACCTTATGACTCACTCCTCACAGGGGATTCCCAGGATCGGGAGGCTTTGGAGAAGGTGGAGGCAGTTGGGCTGGCCTGGCAGATGGCTCAGATTTCAAGACTGGGCAGAGGAGAGAAGGCTGGGTCAGGGTGGGGAATGGTGTGGTCTGTACTTTGGGATCTAGAAGACTGAGGTGCCGAGGACAGGTGAGTGGGGCCAGAACATGAGGCCTCTGACTGCCAGCTTGGAAAAGGTCTTTAGAGAGTTTTAGCATAGAAATGTTAAGATCATTTCAAATAATATGTTGCCTGGCATGGTGGTACATGTCTGCAATCCCAATCCTTGGGAAGTAGAGGCAGGAGGATTGCAATTTTAAAGTCTGTTTGGGCTATATAGAGAGACCAACTAAAAAAGCCATAAACAGGCTGGAGAGATGGCTCAGCAATTAAGAGCACTTACTACTATTCCAGAAGACCTGAGTTCAGTTCCCAGCACCCACATCAGGTAGAATTGCCTGTAACTCTAGCTCCAGGAGCAATGATGCTATCTTCTGACCTCTGTGGTTACCCTTACACACATGGCACTCGCTCATAGGAATGCACACACATACATATAAATAAAAAATAATTTAAAAAAAAAAAAAAAACCTCAAAAACATTCTAGGCCAACATGGGTACCATAGTGAGATTCTATCTCAGGAAAACAATCTCCTCCCAGGTATGGAAAGGAAGTGAAAATATATAACCAAACAGTATTATGGTATGATCCCATTTTCTTATTCTAAAGTATATGTATATATAAATTTAAAAAAACATTGTGTATGAGTGTTTTGCCTGCATTTATATAAGTGGACCCATGCAGGCGATGCCCACGGAGGCCGGAGGAGGGTGTTGGATCCCCTAGAATTGGAGTTATGGATGGTTGTTAGCTGTCACATGGGTACTGGGAATACCTGGGTCCTTTGCTAGAGCAGCAAGTGCTCTTAACCACTGAACCATCTCTCCAACCCCTAGAAGTCATTTTTAAGTTCTAGGCAAACACATTTGATGGGTAAGGAAGATGATCTAGAAACATGATAGGGAGTAAATGAAAAACTGAGAATGAAGGTTGGCTGTGTGGTAGCATTGAGGATCTCCATATCAGAGAGGAACCCTTGGAATGTCCAGGAACATAGGAATTGGCTAAGCAAATTACTGTTTATCAACCCAGCTTGGGGTATCATATAGTTTTTAAAAATTACAAATATGAGCCGGGCATGGTGGCCCATGCCTTTAATCCCAGCACTTGGGAGGCAGAGGCAGGCGGATCTCTGTGAGTTCAAGACCAGCCTGGTCTATAGTGAGTTCCAGGACAGCTGGGGCTACAGGGAGACCCTGTCTCAAAAAGACCAAAAAAAAAAAAAAAAAAAAGACAAATATGGGGGCTGGAGAGATGGCTCAGCAGTTAAGAGCACTGACTGCTCTTGCAGAGGACCCAATTCGATTCCCAGCACCCACATAGTGGCTATGAACCATCCTTAACTCCAGTTCCAGGGGAATTCAAAGCCCTCTTCTGACCTCCGTGGCATTGCATGACACAGGTGCAGTCACATACACGCAGGCAATACACTCACACACACAAAATAAAAATAAAAAAAGCTGGGCATAAGTTTTTAAAAAAATTTTTAATGACAAATATGGGGGATAGAGAAATGACTCAAGGGTTAAAAGCACTGGCTGCCCTTGCAGAGGACCTGGGTTTGGTTCTCAGCACCTACATGGTTCCAGGGGATCTGATGCCCTCTTCTGACCTCTGTGGTCATTGCACAACATGGGTGCACTTACATACATGTAGGCAGTACAGTCAGACACATAAAATAAAAATAACCAAAAATTGGCCAGGCATGGTGGTGGTGCACGCCTTTAATCCTAGCACTCAGGAGGCAGAGGCAGACAGATCTTTGTGAGTTCAAGGCCAGCCTGGTCTACGTAGTGAGTTCCAGGCCAGCTGGGGCTCCAGAGAGACCTTGTCTCAAAAATACCAAAAAAAAAAAGACAAAAATTAAAAAAAATAAAAATGACACATATGCCAGGTGTGGTAGGCCTTTAATCCCAACACTCGGGAGGCCAGCCTGGCCAGCTGGGACTACGGGGGGAGGGGTCCCTGTCTTTAAAAAAAAAAAAAAAGAGACATGTATAGATCATTGATACTTAGATTTGGGATTTTGAAATGGGTAGAACAAGGCAGAACAGAATGTAGTATGTTTTATACTGATTACAGGCCTGTGAAATATATATAAATACTTAAATTAATTTTGAGAATATCATTTTGTTGATACCTTTTTTCAGTTGGTACCATAAATAATGTAAATTTTGCCATTTTAGGCATCTTAGGTTTACAGTTCAGTGGCATTAAGTACATGCAGCCATATCATTTCTAGAATTTATCATCCCAGAAAGTCTGTGTCTATTAAACAATAACTCCCATTCCTATGCCTGTAGTCACTTCTATTCCCTTTCCTATTCTAGATGCCTCATGGACTCATACAATATTTGTCCTTTATGCCTGACTTATTTCACTTTGTGTCATCTGTGTTGTAGTACAGGTTGCTTCCAGTTTGGACCTAATTACAATTGATGCTGCTATGATAATGGGTGTACCAATAACTTGTTAAGTCTCTGCTTTGAGTTTTTTTGGGGGAAGGGGCATCTATACCTAGAGGTAGAATTTCTGGATCTATGTTTTAACTTTTTTGAGGAACTGCCAATCTTTTAGTGCCTTTTTAATATAAACCTCTTCAACTCTATTTATACTTACAGTTCCCAGTTCTTTCTGCTTTGCTTAATATACACATAAATTATTGAGGGATTACTACAGATGTGAAAGCATTTTGTTCTGTTTAAAGGAGAGCCTTTATAGATCTTCAGATAGTGGAATGTTTTGAATGTGGCCATGGAAAACAGGGTCAACCCAGACCACTGAAACTTCCAGATGATTCCAGAGCCCTTACGTTTTATCAACAGTTTCAACTTTTGCTTTCTCCCAGAAATCTTTAACCAAGGTAAAATGAAATGAATGCATTTATAATTGCCATATACATTTTACCATTTAGATAAAAGGCAGAGGAAAGAACATAAGACTTGTGTGTTTTCCTAAATTGGATTCCTTCCTGGAGTTTATGGCTTCCTCCATTCCTAGCTTTCCTGGAGCTGCCTGGTGCTAAAGGAAGTAGGAAGAATCCTTCAAGCTGGGCACAGTGGTACACACCTATAATCTCAGCTCTTCAGGAGACAGAGGCAGAAGGATTGCAAGTTCAGAGTAAGCCTGGGCTATATAGCCAATTCCAGGCCATCCTGAACAGTATAGCAAGACCCAGTCTCAAAATAGAGTTGTGGCATATAGATCAGTGGTAGAATGCTTACATGTAGAAGGCTCTGGGGTCAATCCCTAGTCCTGCAAAAAGAAAAAAAAAAAAAAATCCTTGACTGAATGGAGGGGAGTTTGTGTATATGTAGACACCCTGGAATGGATGCAGCAGGTAGGAAGGAGGGCAGAGGAGGAAGGTCAGAAGATAAGAGGGAAGACAGCTTGTTTAGTGTGCTTGGGGAGTTTTCCCTCTAAGGATGGGAAACAGAGCTCCTCCTCAGAGTCTCATGGTGAAAACTTGGGAGTTCCTGGCTCATAGTCCGCTAGAACAGGAAAAAGAGGACATTTATAAAGTAACCTCTAAATCCAAAGTGGAATGGTAAAAATTGTTCCCAGTTATAAAGTGAAGTCAAGGGAGCTCTGGCCAGACAGGATGTACTTTCACTGCTTTGAGTTCTTTCAGAAGGTAAGGGAAGACATGGCAGGCAGGCAGACCCCCTGGAAGAAAGGAGGCTGGTTGCCACAGCTCCTTCCTCCATGCTGATGTTAAGGCGTGTGGGCTGTGCTCTCTTTCAGCCAGTGTCCCATGTTCGGTGGCCCCAGAAAAGTCAATGTGTAGGCCTCAGCCACCCCAGGTCCGACGTACATTCTCCCTGGACACCATCCTCAATTCCTACCTTCTGGGCCAGTGGCCACGAGATGCCGATGGGGCCGTCACCTGCTGTACCAATGACAAGGCCACCCAGGTAATGCAGCCATCTCCCAATGGGATCAGGTGGGTGTGGGAGGGCCGGGTGATGAGGCTTTTGGTCCACTCATTAACTGACAGTCATTGGAATGATTTGTCTTGGGTTTTAGTTGTTTATATAAGCTGCTGTTTACCAGCTTGTTTTTCTTTGTAAACTTAAATGAAAATGAGTTTGCATTCCACCTGCCTGGTGGAAGAGAACGTCAAGCTGAAATTTTCAGTGAGTTTTCAGGGTTCATGTGTAGGTAATCCACAGCTGACTTCAGAATTTGGGTTTTTAAAAATGAGTTTTGCCTTACTGAAATTAAACTAAAGCCAGCATTCAGTCAAGTTGTATTCCCTACGAAGCTGGAGGAAGTAGCCAAAGAGGTGCTGAGCCAGGATAGACCCCCATTAGCAGCTTGAGTGGTGTATTTAGATCACAGAGAACTGCACGTTGTCAGCAGCCAGTCTAGGGTTCCAGGGCACCCTAGAACCAATCCTACGGAGCTCAGATTTCTCTCCTTCACTAAACACTTGGGACAGTTTTTCATGAAGAGTCCTGACTTGGAAGGGATCTCCATAGACCATCCAGTCCATGTGTCCATTTTTGGATAAGACAGTGTTAGCTTGAGCAAGAAGTCATCTTACCTGTGAAATGATATAGTCTGACTCAGTACTTAGTATTCTTCTTTTGAGTACAGCTTTAAGCTGATTCCTGTTCAACTTCAGAATGAATGAGTTGTTCCTGGATAGGAAGAAATGGTAGAAGAACACCCACTTGGGCTCAGCCCTCCAGGCTAGGTAACAGGTGAGACAGGGCAAGGCAATTCTTCCTTTGCATACAGAGTGGGGTGTGCCCACTTTGCCACTTAAATTCAGTATGATGGCCGATGGACATGGGCCCCATGCCCTGTGTAACTCCCTCTCCTTCTCTGAGCACATCCCGTCAGTTCCTTTCTTCTTATGAGATGGATTTTCAAATGTTACTAATGAATGTTTGAATGCTGAGTCCTGTTCTTCTCATGTTGAAATGAGGACAAGATTTGGCCTCTCTGAGCCTGGCTTCCAGTCCCCTGAAGGCCAGTGAACAAACAGTAAGGGATGTCATGGGGCCAGATGTCTAGCAAGGTGTAGAGGAGCAAGATTCTCCTGGGAATGCCGCATTGAACCAACAAAAATTACAGCAAGTTTAAAACAGCAAGGTAACATCAATGGCCCCCTTAATGTGTGGGAATAGAAGGGTACATGGAGTAGGCCCACTTCCTGGGAGCATCAACACTGTTTCCCCTTCATCCTTTGACAAGGCGAGTTATGCTTCTCTCTCATGGGCCTGGGAGTACAGACTCCTTTCTCTTTGGAGGGGAGTGCTCAGCCCAGATAATGGACTTAACACAGAAGGGCTTCCTATAGGAATAGGGCTTGAAGTTGCTTTGAATATGTGAGCTCATGAGCATCCTTCTTTGTCAGACATTAGGCTCTGTGTGGCCCACTTATCCCCATCTCTGTCACTTCCTGCTGCCAGCCTTCTGTGAAGCAACCATCCCACTCCTCACATAGCATTCTCTTTGTCATCCCAAGGAAGGGCTGGCCTCAATCGTCCCCTGGCTGGGTGGAGTGGCCCTGGTTCTCAACTGCATGTTTTTGCTCCAGCTCCAGCTGCAGGCCAGATCTTTTATATAACAAGTCTGGGCTTCTTGCCACAGTAAGACAGAGGTCAGTGATGTGCCTTCATGGGTCTGGCAAGGCCCAGCCCTCTAGCCTTCCTTTTTCCCCGGGATAGGCTCCAGCCCTCGAGGAACTCTTAGCAACCTGTCAATATTGTGGCTGCAGGCAAGAGGTGGGAGAATTCTGATCAGCATAAGCATCCAAACCAAAATATGTGATCTGCCGTCTTCCATTCCTGCTCTTCAGGGAATTTTCTGCTTCCAGGTTTGGGCTCTGTTCAAATTCCTGCTTGAGGCCCCTGGCCTGGCACAAGCTGCCTTCTTTAGCAATGGTATTATACTGTGAAGGCCTAAGGCTTAACTGCCATCACCCCCCACCCCTGCAAAACAAACAGACAAACAAACAAACAAAAAACCCTTGGCCTTCCCTCCTGAACACTAGGAGATCACCCAGAATGCATGAATAGAGATGGAGGAGGAGTTTCACGGGGGAAGTACAGGAGGTGTGGAGAAGAGGGAAAGGAGAGAGGCTGGATCTACTGACATCTTTGAAAGCTTGTTCATTTATTTCCTTTGTTATTTTGTTGTGCTGGAGATGGAATTCAGGGCCTTGAGCGTGCTAGGCAAATACTTGCATCCTCAGCTCATTAAAAGCTTTCAACTGTTAGGAATGGATGGATGCTAAACCTTCCCAAACTGTTTTGAGCAAGCCTTCTATTCCTACCCTATCCCTCACCAGGTGTCCTTTCTCTCTTAGCCATAGCTATGGAGTGATTTATTGTCTGTTTTATCCACCCTAACTAGCAGACACTCGTTACTGCTCACTTACATGCCCAAACTCCCAGTGTTGGAGACCACATCAGCTCTGACACACCCAGGGGTATGCTTTGCAGTGAGTTTAACAGCCACAGTTGTGGCTAGAGACTAGGAAGCTCCTTCCTCTCAACCCCTTAGAGGGAACAAGGGCCTTACCCATTCCAAGCCAGTGTCAGAGCTAGGCAGCAGACACAGAACACTTGCCATTAGAAAGCCAGGTATGCTATGTACTCAAGGCCTCTGCATATGGCAGAGGATCTATATAGGGCAGAAGATGGATTAAAAGCCCTCAGCTCTTGAGTCTATGCCAGTGTTGCCAACAGTCCCAGGATTCCCTTCTTGGCTGTGTTCTAAGCTTTCAGCAGGTACAGAGCTTAGTACTCAGACAGCTCTTAGTCTGACATGGGAGCTGGGTTCCTCACATATTTGAGGCAAGAGGAACAAGCAAGTTATAGGTGGCTCTTAGTTGGGGAATTAGCTCTTCTAAGGAGGAGGAAGAGGTATAAATATGGTGGATGGGAAAGAAGTGCTCTGGAAACACTGCTTTGTTATTGTTGGTTTGTTAATTTTCCGGGACTGGGGATGGAACTCAGGCTCTTGCACATGCTAGCCAAGCACTGTACGCCTGAGCTTCATCATCAGTCCAGGATGTCTTGAGCCAAAAGGAACAATGTGAGAGGAATGGCCAGGTTCTCTGAGATGAGCCTAGTGAGAACAGGGCCAGGAAGTGGTAGGAAGACCCCTGCGTTGGCATCACCATCTTTTGTAGGACAGGCTTTGTGTCTGGGTGGAGGTTTCAAGGATTGCCTGGGTTTGTCTGAATATGTTTTCTCATCTGTGGCCCACCCTTCCCCCACGCCAGGCCAGTTGGTAACCCAGAGCTGGCCATCGAGTGCTTTGGGCTGGCCCCTCCCAGGGCTGGTGATGGCAGTATATGCCAGGAGCTGTGGTCACCCCTCTTTCTCTCTCTCTCCCTTCTTGATATGCAAAGCATTTGCGTCTTCTATTCTTCTGAAGGGAGGAAGTGGTCTCACCACAGCTGGCAGGACTGTTTGAACAGAGTTCCCCAACTGGTGGCATCCTGCCCACAGATGGGTCCCTGGGTACCTGCCCTACTGGGCCCCACCCCAACTCTGCTCCTCTCCTGCCCCATTTCTGCTGTATTTACAGGTAGGATGGAGAGGCCTCTGATTTTTTTCCCCCATTAACTCTGATTTATCCTTTGGGGAAAAAATAGCCTAAGTCTTTGACAGACCTCATGGAGCATCCCAAAGGCCAGAGGCAGAAGTGGGCTGCTAGTTAGAGAAGACTTCCTTTCCTGTCTTTTTCCTACCTGTGGCAGGGAAAGGGTCCTCCCATTTCCTAAGCTAATACCTCAGTGCTTACTGATGTGATAGTTCAGTGTGACTATCACAGGCCTTTAAAAACATTTTTCTTTGTGGGTGTGAGGGCCTGGGCACAGCGCCTGTTTTCCAAACTAGCAGCCAAGACCAGTGGTTCAGTATATGGTTTGACGACATCAACAAATGTTTGAAAATGGAACCACAATGGAAAATGAGAGGGTCACCTAGTCACTGTAGGGTCAGAGATGGTGACTGTGGACACCTGCAGTCACAGAGTTCTCAGTGCTGGCCAGTGGACCAACCCTCCAGAACCTTTTCCTGCTTTTTGTTTGGCCAGAGTCCTAAGGGACTGGCTCCCTGCTGAATTGAGCTCATCACGTGGCTACTGACCATCTCTCCCCGGCCAGGCCCCACGCTGCTCTTCACTTCTAGCAGGTACAATGGGTAATGTTCCCAGGGCCCAGCCTAGCTCTGCAACTGAATATACCCAGAAGGCAAGGGCACTGGAGACATTGAGGGCCTGACTCTTCCTGCCTCTGGTCATGGAGTCCAGATAGAAATTCAGCTGGTTAGAGGCCAAGAAAGACATTCCATCCTTCTTCCTTTTATTGCCCTACTAGGCAGCTCTTTGGGAAGCCATCCTCTACACCCATGCCTAACTATCCTTCCATATACTGTCCTGGAACCTTGGAATCTCAGGCAAGTCACCCTTGGTCTAATCATGACCAGTTTTACAGAATCTGAGCATCTACTGCACATCCGGCTGCTCCACTAATGGTTGGTAAGCAACCCCATGTCTCAATTGGCTACTCCCACTGGCCAGGGTATGAAGTAAATCCTTTCTAGCTCATGAGTCCTCTGATAAACATGGCTTTTTGATCTTCTATTCCTAAGCTCTCCTCTGCTTTTGAAGGGACCTTTAGAATGACCACTTATACTGCTACCCCATAGCCTGTCCTAACCCTGTCCTGATGACCTCCTTGAGGGTAGCCTTCCTAAAGTCATAGCTGTGACTTTACTGTGCCCTAAGAAGACTGTGATCTGAACCATTGTGGTGAGACTCAGAAAGGAGGATCTTGAGCAACCAGGAGAATGGTTCCCCCACACATCTAGTACATTTGAAGGAGCTGAAGACCATACCTTCCTGCATGCCTATCCTGACAGCACTCAGGCAAACCTGCTGTGTTGGGTTCCTCAACCTGCTCTAATAGTTACCTCAGACTTAGTGGCTTAAGACACCAGACGTGCATTCTCTCACATTTCTGGAGACCAGAAGTCCAGGTTCGGTTTCAATGGACTGGTACCTACATATTGGCACAGCTGTTGAGCTTTTTACTTTGCTTTTTGTGATAAGATCCTTACTGTGTAACCCAGATTGACCTTTAACTCACTGTGTAACCCAGGCTGGCCTTGAAATAGGAATCCTACTACCTCAACTTCCCCAGTGCTGGGACTACAAGTAAATGCTACCATACCTGGCTCAGGACGTTGCTGGGAAGTTCTCTTTGCCTCTTCCAGCCTATAGTGTCTGCTGGCCTTGGTTTGTAGCAACCTCACTCCAGTCTTTGCTGTGTAGTCATACTGCTTTATCCTTTTCCACATGTGCACTATCTCCATTAGCCCTTCTCTTGCAAGGATACTTGTTAATGGCCTTTAGGGGCAAACTCAGGAATCCAAGAATACTCTTCCTATCTCAAGATCCTTAGTTGTATCTGCAAAATCTTTGTCCCATAAGGTAGCATTTATAGGTTTCTGATATCTTTGCAGGGGGTGGTTTTCATGTTTATCCCCTCTCCCATTTATTTATTTTAGGGGATTCAGGATATGGTTGAAGGACTGGTTAGAAAAAAATAAAACCATTTCATGTTCTTACATACCCCCACTGAGTTGACACTTCATAATTCACCATTTACACTTGCTTTTGCATCATAATTTTCTGATATTTTACAGTGGGTATGTGTCATTTTATAATGAGAAGATTCAATACTAATATAGCCAGTAGGGATTAGGAAGCATAAGAAACTGCTTGGAAAATTCCCAAAAACATAAAATAGAAAATAAAAATTGTCCACTGACAGATACTACTTAGATTTCCAGTGTGTGACACTTACTGACCTGGCCTCTTCTATACCTCTGTTCCTACCTCACTCTGTTCCCACCCTGCTGACTATCTCAGGAGTCTTTTGTTTTTGTTTCTTGAGATAGGTCTCCCTGTAGCCCCAACTGGCCTGGATCTTGCTATATAGATCAGGCTGGCCTTGATCTCATGGAGATCCGCCTGCCTCTGCCTCCTGTGTGTCTGGTCCATCTCAGGAGTCTTAAACATACTAGACTTGCCTTGCCTGTGGTTTTTCCCATTTGCTGTTCCTTCTATCTGGATCACTCCTACCTCAGAGATCCAGGCAGCTCACTCCTTCACCTCCTTTCCACTTTGTTCGGAAGTTGCCTGGCCAATGAGGATTTTACTGGTGATTCAGATCTCATCCTCCTGCCCAACGTTCTTGTTGCCTTGTTTGCTTTATTGTTCTCTTTTTTTGTGTGTCTTTTTTTTTGAGACAGGGTCTCTCTGTGCTTTATTGTTCTCTTTAGCCCGTCACTCTGAAATTTATTATTACTGTTTTTTATTTTTATTTATTTATTTTGTTTATTATTTTTATGTTTCACAAGTGCAGCCAACTTTGTCTTAGAGAGCATTTCTATTTGACTTTCTAAAACATGGAAGTTCATCTTTTAAAAAATATTTTATTATTTTTATTTTATGTGTATTTGTGTATTGCCTGCATGTAAGTAAGTGCACCCATGTCATGCAATGCCCATGGAGGTCAGAAGAGGCTGTCAGATCCCCTGGGACTGAAGTTACAGACAGTTGTTAGCTGCTATATGGGTGCTGGAATTTGAACCTGGGTTCTGCGAGAACAGTCAGTGTTAATCACTGAGCCATCTCTCCAGCCCCTTAAATTTTTTTTTATAAATTTGTTTTTACATGTATGTGCTTGCTAGTCCATATATGTACCAAGTCCATGCAGATCCCCACAGAGGACAGAAGAGGGTGCCAGATCCTAGAACTGAGTTAGAGGCAGTTGTGAGCTGCCTATTGTGGATCCTAGGAACCAAGCCCAAGTCTTCTGCAAGAGCAGCAAGTGCTCTTAACCCCTGAGCCATCCCTTTAGCGACCCCCATATCACTCTTTAAACTGATCCCCAATTAAAATGTAAACTCAGAGGTCAAAGATTTTTGTTGTTCTATGACTATTGTGTCACCAACACATGGAACAATTTCTGTCCCACCATATGCATTCAGGGACTCTTCACTGAGTGCCTGAGTAATGCATGCTCTAAACCCTTCTGCACAGAGGAGAAAGAGCAAAGAACAACCAGCACAAGGTAAGGAAGGTGAGACAGGCTCCCCGATGACAAGGCTGGGGACGACTGTAAGGTGGACCATCTTAAATGAGGAGACCAGGCTTAGAAGTCAGTGGGTGAGGTTAAAAAAAAATTAAAAAGGAGATGGAGTTGGGGTTACCTATGCAGGACAGAGAGCCCCTGGGATGAAGGATGACATGGTGATGCCTATGGTAGGGGTAGATGTTGAGACAAGGTGATGCCCTTTACATATACACAGAGTGGCAGTAGTTGGGGAAGGCGTGGCTGAGAAGAGAAAGGTGGGAAAACATTAGGAGAGGGGATGACCCCAGCTGCATTGACTTTTGCATCCTTCCTCCATCCTGTGCCGGCCCACACATCTCCTTCACCCCCTCACATATCTCAGAAGGTATTTGAAAATTTTAAAGGTTTTAGAAGCCAGTGGCAGCTTGATTGAGGCTGTTTCTCCTTGTTCTCACTGCCCACCTGTGACCACAGTTTCTTCCTGGAGGAAGTGAGCATCATCCCCTTTGGTTTTTGCCACCCCAACTCCGTGGTTTTTGCCACATTTCAGAGGTGACAGGAATGTATGGGACTCAGCTATGCTTGCAGCTCTGGCAGTCTACAGGCTTGGCTTAGGCACACCAGAAAAGGACATGGGTGTGTCTACAGAGACCCAGTAGCCAGGGAGAAATGGGCTTTTCCCTCTCTATCAGTGTGTGTAGCAGTTCTTCTGAGGTCTGACACAGCTCCTTGCTTTACAGAGATTTAAGGACCAGCATCATCTGAGCGCTCTGGGGCACACACTTCTAGCTGCCCTTTTGCTAAAGGAGGAATGGTAGGAGTGGGATCTGAGAATGTTCTCCCTGGTGGTGCCAGAGTTAGGACAGGAAGTTCAGGAAGTTAGGGCATTTGTCTAACCCTGGGCATATTTCACAGCCTGGTAAAGGTCTTACTCCTGGGCAGCTGCAGACAGGAAGTGCCAGGGACCCAGTACACAGTGGCCTTTCTGCATGCAGCTGTCGCATATGGCAGTCTGCTTTCACAATCCCGGCTCAGACTGCCCTGCGAGCTTCTGTTAGCAGCTGTTGGGTGGTGAAGAGTCGTGTTTTCCCTACTGATCCTCCCCCTCTCTGTTTGCAGCAGCCTCTGGGGGAGGTCAGCAGATCTCTTGGAGGAGATGGTTCCCAGGCCCTTGTGTTTTTGGCAATCTGTGCACAGTAGTCAGAGAGGAGCTGGTCCCACTGGAGTGTTCCCCTCGGCCCCTCCCTTGGAATGGAAGTAGGATGGTGATGGTGGGGAGGAATCTTGGCCAGTTGGAGTCAACAGCTTCTGCTTTGGGGGGGTCTATCCATCTTAGGTCTTTTGTGTTCAAGAATCGGAGGAGAGGGTGGGGGAAGGGTGACAAGTAGAAAGGAGTTCCCTATGAGAGGCAAGGAAGGCCCATGAGGAGGAGATATGAGTAGACCAAGGGGTCAGATCAGTGCTGGGTTCAGAATTCTTGCTCATTCAGAGGAGTTTGGGGTCCTCAGCACTCCCTCTGTGTGACAGAACAAGCTTGTGGCATCATGCTACACAGGAGCCTCGTGCTTCATTGGGGGCACCTGTGGAGACCTTTCTCCTGTTTTCTCATGGGAGGTCCTGTCTGATGACTTGTTTTCCATGGGCTCCCAGGCACCTGGGCAGAGGGAAAGAATAAAGGATGCAGGACTTCCCTGGGCCTGTGCTCTTCTGAAGCTGGTTGGGAGAGGGACAGTCATTGGCCTCACCACTGAGGTGCACCTGGACTGACTGAGGCAATAATACTTGTATGCAAGTGACAAAAGAGTGGATGAAGATGTAGCTCTGTGGTAGAACCCTGGCCTGGCATATGCAAGGTCCTGGATTCTATCACTGGCACTGAACACATAACTTAAATCATAAAAGAGGGGCGAGGTCAGCCTTGTTGGACCTTGTGGAAGGTTTCCTGGAGGTTGTAAATCCAGATGAGGCTATGCAGGTGTTTCTTCTGCCTGGAAGAATCAAAGCAAGCTGGGTGTGCCCACAAGGTTGATGAACAGATGTGAGGAGGCTTCACAGGCCATCAGCTCTGCTCAGGAAACCCTGTGGCTGCTTCCTGGGCCTGCTGCGGAGCTGCTCTGTCTCACTATATGTCTTTCTACAGACGCCCCTGTCCTGGCAAGAGCCAGAAGGTGAGTGCGTCAGCTCCTGCATGCACAAGCGCTCGGCATCCTGGGGCAGCACAGACCACCGAAAAGAGGTAACTGCCCTCTCTCTGCAACCTCTCTTCCATCTCCTAGCACTAGCTCTGCCCTGGGGACAGCTATGCTTTCAGTGTCTCGTGCCTCCTCCTGCCAGCCTCCTTCTGAGGGGATGGCTCTTCAGCATTGACTCCCAGTGCCTCCCAGTGGCTTGGTGTTAGGAGTGCAGACCCTCTTGCTAGAGACAGTGGCAGCTGATGCTTCCAGCATGTTGTCTCTGGGGAGTCAGGGAGACAAACAAAATGTTTGTCTCAGTTTGCTTTAAAGTTGGACTCAGATGAGTAATTCAGAGACTGAAAGAAGACAGGGAACAAGCCAACCTTATTTACTATTTAACTATCATACAGCTAGTCTTTTAAAAGAAGGGAAAAATAATCCTGGGTTCCTGAATGCTTGGTCTTGGCCCTCTCTTTGCCCTAAGAGGGCTGGCTGGAACCATTGAGACTGAGGAGAGAAAGCAATAGGCTAGAATTCTAAAGTTTCCAAACCAGCTCCTTCTGACCTGTCACATGGCAGCTCCAAAGAGAGCGATAACTTAGTAGGACTTATTGTTGCCCCTTCCTAGAGGAAAGTTGTTTCTGTTCTTCTTGATGTTTAGAGCAGAGATAAAATGTGAAGTGATACTGCAAGGATAAAGATAAGTAGAAATGTAAACAATTCTTGAACATCAGAGTAAACAGATTTTGCACAGTTAGGGTGGTAGTCATGTTCAAAAGCACATTCTTGGGCTGGGAGATGCAGCTCAGTAGTAGAGCAGTTGTCTAGCATGCATGAGGCCCTAGGTTCAGTTCCCAGCACTGAAATTAAAAAACATTTTCTTCTTGGCTATCTTCACAAGTTTTATGGCAGTAGGCAGCATCCCACTCAGGTTACAAAGGCCCAGAATTAGAGGTATGACTGGAATAATATTCAAAATTATCTGATTTTTTTTTTTGAGACAAGGTATTGCTATACAGCCTAGGCTGGCCCCAAACTTTTGTGAGTTTGCGGCCAGCCTGGTCAACATAGTGAGTTCCAGGACAGCTGGGGCTACAGAGAGAAAAAACAAAAAAAAAGCGGGGGGAGGCTAGAGAGATTACTCAGTGATTAAGAGCACTTGTAGAGAACCCAGGTTTGGTTCCCAGCACCCACCTGATGGCTTACAGTGGTCTATTAGCACCGGTTCTAGGGGATCTTGTGCCGCCTTCTGGCCTCTGTGGGGACTGCACACACATGTGCACATACATGCAGGCAAAACACTCATACACATAAAACTAAATAAAATCTTAAAATGGGGAAGATATTTCCATCCTTCTTGGTCTCAGAGCCTTTGGGATACTTGAAAATATCCTTTGAGGAATGAAGTACTATTCACACTCTGAAACACTGCCTTCAGATTACAGGTGGCTCATGTGGCAGCTAACAACTGTCTATAACTCCAGTTCCAGAGGATCCAATGCCCTCTTCTGACCTCCAAGGGCATTGCATGACATGTGTGTACCTACTTACATGCAAGTGATACATTCATATACATAAAATAAAATAATTAAAAAATTAAATAATAGTAAGTAATAGTAAGGTATCTAGTTCGGATGAGGACTGATCTTCATGGTTTCAGTATCACTAAGCTGTTTTGAAATGAAGATTGACTTCCACGTTCCTTTTATCTATCATGGACCTGTGGCAAGGGCCACCCCTAGAAACAGGGACCAGTGTACTTGTGCTTTGTCTTACCTTCCTTTCTCCTCTGTGTCTTTGGCTACTAGATCAGCAAGTTGAAACAACAGCTGCAGAGGACGAAGCTGAGCCGCAGTGGAAAGGAGAAAGAGCGAGGCTCCCCTGTCCAGGGAGACCATGCTGTGCGGGGAGCAGCAAAGGTATGCTCTCCCCCCTGATCCCCCCTGACCTTCATGGCAGACTTCCCTGATGCGTAAAGTTCTCTCTGGCCTTCCAGCACTGAGCCACACTATGTGTTTTTGTGGCTACATGGATAGCCAGGGAAAGTTTTCGTCCAAAATTGGACTTGTCTGAGTGACATTGGAAGAGCCTCTTGCTTTTCTCATTGCCTTTCTCCTCTACCCTCATCTTTGTGCAATTTAGACAGTGACTCTAAAAGCATACTGCAGGAATCTCAAAGTTATGGCTCCAAGAGAAAACCCCATTGAATGGACCTGTTGGAATCTGCAGCTTTACCTAGTTCATCCTTTGTTTACTTGCTCATGCTTTGTGGACATGGCCATCATTCCTAGTCATAACTGATAACTAGACAGGGTTTGGTAGGGGCTTTCTGTAACTGCTTCATTTGTCTCTCCTCAGGTGTCCCTTCCCAGCTTCCCCCCAGGGTCCCCTGTCCTGCGACTTAGCCCCTGCCTACACAGGAGCCTGGAAGGGCTCAACCAGGAGCTGGAGGAGGTGTTTGTGAAGGAGCAGGGTGAAGAGGAGCTGCTGAGGGTGAGTGGTGGCTGTCCTGAGTGTGCTGATAGGCTGTGCCTGCATGAGAGCAGTTAGCAGTGTCATTCTCTGGGGCCTTTCAGGCTGTAGCTCTGTAAGCAAGGGCATATAAATGCCTGCCTTCCAGAAATCACAAATGCAGTTCATTTGTGTCATGTGGACACAGGAACAGCAGGGCGGGTAGGTGCAACTGGGAAAGGCCTTGTGGTGGGGATGGGCACATTAGTTACTTGTCTTGGTGGTGTGACAAAGAACCTGACAAAAGCAACTTAAGGAAGGAAAGGTTCATTTGGGCTCACAGTTCCAGGGTACAATCCATCATAGTGGAGAAGTCATGGTGGCCAGACCTTGAGGCAGCTGCTCACATTGTATCCGCAGTCAGGATGCAGAGAGCAAGGAATGCTTATGCTCAGTTCGCTTTCTACTTTTTATTCAGTCTGGGACCACTGCTTATGGAATGGTACTACCCACATTAAAGGTGGGTCTTCCTACCTCAATTAACCTAATTTAGGTAATCCCTCACAGATATACCCAGAGATGGTTTTCATGGTGATTCTAGCTCCCATAAAGTTGGCAGTCAAACTTAACCATCACCCATGGGCAGACAAGAGGGTTCCCAGCTGAAGGAAACTGCCAGCTCACTGGCCCCCGAGTTGTGGACAACATCACTGGCCTGTGCCTCAGCTCATGCCACCTTGCTTTCAGGTCACTACTTCCCTCCATCTGTCTCCATCTGGTGACACGCATCCATCTTCATGCCCAGTTGCCAAGTATAGCCTTCTCCCTGCCTACTCCCAGGCAGAATTACATGCTACCTTTTCTGCAGTTCCGAGCAAGTTTTATACTGACACGGCACAATTAGGGAATGCCAGTTGGGCAGTATGAACATAATTCTAATGGGCAGAGACGTTAGTTTACTATTTACCTACTGGCTGATTTTTAAATTGGACATATGCAGGATTTCATATGTACCCAAACACATGCATACAACTTAGTGCCCTGGGGTCCCAAATACTATCAAATGTTTAAAAAAGGGAGTGATCAATACTTAATCTATGGTAACCATCTGCATACTTGTCCTTATAACTTGTTTGGTTTTTTTGAGATGTCTTTATAACTTGTGTAGTATTCTGGTACCTGGCATCTGGCGTGTCACCCTGTGTACATCAATCACCTTTGTGTCCCAAGGGCCTGGAACACAGAAGGTTGCTGATAACATCACACAAATGAACATGACTGTACATTGGACTGACAGTGCCATGAGGGAAAAGAACAAAGTACTATGGGAGAAACAGGGTTGTTTCTCCTAGACTGAGCATAGGTCAGGAAACAAATGGCTTGAGGAAGTGGTGTTCTGTTCGCCAGGCTGAGAGGAAAGACCCATGTCACAGGCCAGAGAAGGTCCAGGACTGAATCTCTTCTTCCTCATTAGATTCTTGAGGTCCCTGATGGTCACCGGGCCCCAGCTCCTCCTCAGAATGGCATCTGTGACCATCCCTTCCTCTTCCTGGAGCCAGGGAACTTGGCCAGCTCTCCCTCCATGCCCCTGGGATCCCCCCAGCCTTCTGGCCAGTTCAGCCATGAGGAGCACCGGGGTGCCACCGAGGAGCTGGCATCTGTCCCCAGTGACAAAGGTAAGTTGTGGAGCCGAGGCGCTAGAGCTGGCTCTGGGCTACAGGAGGGACTCCACTTTGCTTCGAAGCAGTTCTAGGCCTGGCATTGTTACAGAGCAACCAGAATCTCTTTGTGAGTCATCATTCTGCATGCCATACCAGTGATAATAATGGCCCTTTGCAGCACATTCTGACTTGTAGTTTATATAGAAAGTCTCTGTACCTATACTTTTACTGACTCTTTACTGGGATCCAAAAGTGCAGCTTTTCCCATCCCTGTTTTTTGGCTGAGGTTCAGAGTACCAAGGTTAAAGCAGGGCATCTCTGTCTAGGGGTCCACTCTTCTCATGTCCGAAAGGGCTTCAAAGCAATTATAAATGAAGTAACAAAGTATGGTCCCTTACTCAAAGTCTTACAGTTTGACCAAGACTGACACCTCAGCTTTCTGACTCCGAATCCCCAGTTTCTTTTGTGCCTTGACTGTTCACTGAGAGTAAGGCAGGAATCCTACTAAGGCCCTTTGTTAGAAAGCACTGTTACCCACACCACTGATTTGATGCTCACAGTAACCCATGAGGTGGGCTGGGCAAGAGCCTGATCCAGCAGTACACATAGGGAAGTAAACAGAGGAGGCGTAAGTGTGAGAGAAACAGATAAAGTCAATATTTGCAACCCAGGCCAAGTATAATCACAGGATGGAAAAGAGAGGAATTTTATCCTCTGGGTGGGGTTGAGTCAAGGTTGCTTCATGAGTTGGTACAGGAGCATTCCTTGCAAGGAGGGCTAGCTTTTCTAGAATATGGAGGGGAGGAAGCTGTGGTGCTCCGAGCTGGGAGTGCATTACTCTCAGGAGAAGGCAGAGGGATGACAAGTAGGTTCCTTTAAAATCTGGAGATCCAGGCTCCTGGGAGTACAGGATTGATAGAAGATGAAGTCAACTGCTTTTTTCCTTTGGTGATGGTGCTGGAGATAGGACCCAAGGCCCCATACTTGCTTAGCAAGTACCCTACAACTGAGCCCCTCCCCCCGCCCCCCAGCCCTCAATCGTGTAGAATGTGAAGCACACCAGCCTGATTAGCAGAGCCACCTGGTCTCTACACAGAAGGCTTGAGCTGAGGAAAGCAGAGGCTTTCCTTTGTCTCCACTGACTTAGTCCTCTATTTGCAGCCTCCTCTCCAGGCCACCCAACCTTCCTAGAAGATGGCAGCCCATCTCCAGTCCTTGCCTTTGCTGCCTCCCCTCGGCCCAATCACAGCTACGTCTTCAAACGGGAGCCCCCAGAAGGCTGTGAGCGAGTACGAGTGTTCGAAGAGGCCACGTGAGTACATCCCATGAATGGGGCATAGAAGGGGGCACAGCATTGAGGGTAAGTGCTGTGTCATCCCACCTGACAGGCCCTTCTTCAGTCTTATACTCTCTTCTGTCTAGAGGTGTTGTCAACCTCAGATGATCAGTCTTGCAGATTTTCCATGATAAAACTTGTTGACATTACCTACTCTGAGCACTTACATCTTTGCTTATCATTATCTCCATAGAAACCTGCTCTCTGCCCACATGCCAGCCACAAGCGCAGGAGGAGCTGGAAGGGGAAGAGATCTGAAACCTAAGCCCTTTGTTCCTCTTATTTTTTTTCCCATCTCTAGGGAAGGTGTGAGGATTTGCTAGACCATAATGGCAGGGAGGAGAGAAAGAAAGAGACAGAGGACAGAGGGGGCGAGAGAAACAGAAACAGAATGAACGTACCAGTAGTCCTTTACCCCTGGCTGTATTGGTTCCAGTGTTGCAAACTTTCAGATAGAAAACTCTAATTCTTGCAAGAAAGAATTATGGAATATTCTCAAACCCTATTGGATAGTTCAGAAGCCATCTGCTGATCTTTTTCTAGTCCCCTCCCATCAGTGGAGGTTGGAGTACAGCCTTTCCAAAGACCACCCCATCTCCCTTGTGGGCCTTGGAGAGCTTGTTACATTTTCTCTTGTAGCTTCCTATTCATCTAGATAGATTCACACTGGGAGTTGTGGTTTCGATGGCAGCCATGAAGTTTAGTCATGATGTGGGAGTGAAGATTTGGCTGGGTCTGGGTTTCGGGCATTGAGGGCACTTATTTGTATCTCAACTGAGGGAAAAGACGACCTATGGCAGTAGGCATTCTGGGAAAAAAAAACTACTACTAGCAGGGCTTTATTACTGTTACTGCTGCTGCCTGGAGATCCTCAAGCCCCTGGTCCTCTGAGGCATTTATGGAGGGAAGAGACCAGTTCCCATGGTTTATGCATACTGGGCTTTTCTGGCCTCACTTACTCCACACTGTAAACGCAGATGGAAATAAGGCAATGGCCGACCCTCATTCTGTCATAGACTGTGAGGCCACAGCGGGCACACTGTCATCTTATCTGGCCCCTTACTCTGCATTAATCCTTTAAGAGGAATGGTATTTATCAGTTATCTCCTAAGATCTCCTGGGCTTCATTCATTTTACCAACTTTCCTACTGCAAATTCCTTGTATACAGTGATTTTTTTTTCTTCCCTATACTGGGGAATAGAACAGACCCTTGCAATTTCTAGGTAAATGTTCTACCATGTAGCTACATCCCAGCCTAAGAGATACTTTTAGTTGTCATAACTAGGGAGATGGGGGACATAGAACTGCTGGCATCTAGTTGGTAAAGTCCAGAGATACTGATAAATGCCCTGTGATGTACAGGGCAGTGCCTCTGTACCCTAGTCCCTGCAGCAGGGAATCACTGAACCCTAGATGTCAGCAGGGCTAAGGCTGAGAGCCCTGCTTTAGGCTTAGAATCACAGAAGGTCACTGTGCCTGGATCTCTGCTTTCAGACTAGTGATCTGCCCTGAAACACCATTTTCTGTTGAAATCTTTCACATGAAAAGGCCCCTAAGTTTCAGTCTCCTCTTATAGAATCACAGTGTTACAATATTAGCCCTCCTGTTGAATCATGTTGAAAAATAGTGGATAGGCCCAGGGTGTAGTTCAGTGGTAGAGACCTGCTAGATTGAGAACCCCAGCAACCCCAACACTGAAAAACCATGGCAGCATCAATGAGAACCGAGGGACCTGAAAAGCTGGAGAGCTTTTCAAGTTGTCCAAGTTACTGTCCTCTTGGAGCAGGGACCCAGCTGCCTGACCACCTGGCTGACACAATCTGTCACCCTCTCTCCCTGACTGTTTCTCTCTGTGCTTGTGTGTCTGTGTCTCTCTCCATCCTCCAGGTCCCCAGGTCCTGACCTGACTTTCTTGACTTCCTGTCCTGACAAGAACAAAGTCCATTTCAACCCAACCGGCTCAGCCTTCTGCCCTGTCAGCATGATGAAGCCCCTCTTCCCCAGCATGGGTTTCATCTTCCGTAACTGTCCCTCCAGCCCTGGCTCACCTCTTCCCCCTGCCAGCCCCAGGGCACTGCCTCGGAAGGATCCAGAGGCTTCCAAGACCTCGCCATTGCCATTTGAGCCATGGCAACGCACCCCACCATCAGAAGAGTCTGTGCTTTTCCAGAGCTCCTTGGTGGTCTGAGAGGGGGACACACATAAACACACAAACACACACTTTACCGTGGAGACCAGTGCCTTGGTGGCAGGCTCCTCATTAGCTCCCTGAGCTGGGGAATGAAGGAGCCCTTCCCTCTTGGCTTTTGAGCACTTTCATTTATTGTGTCAAAGCCCCAGGTCCTTTGTGGTGAGCACCAGCCCCCAAAAAGGGAGGGGACCCGCCTTCTCCACTAGCAGTTCGGCAGCTCACAACTCGCACCTGTGTACCTGCTGCTCCCCTCACTTGTGGGAAGATCTTGAGTCCCCTGCCCCAGGGTGTGAGTCCAAATGACTTGTCATGAAATAAGTTGGCTGTGACTGAGAGAAGGGGATGCCACAGACTTCCTTCCCTCTCCACCTCCAGAGATACAGAAGAGCAGACCAGAAGATAGCTAGTCCATCCCCATGCCTCTCTCCTAGAGGAGCTGACCAAAGTGGCCCTTGGGCCAGAACACTTGACCAATTCAACTGTTGGCTAGGTGGGGAACCATGTGTTTTTCCCAAGTGGCATTTCATCTCACTTTCACCCTGACTAAAGATTGTCTTAAGTAGCAGCCCAGTCCTAAGTGGGTGATAGGGAAGAGGGAGAGCTGGCATACCTCCAGGTGGCATGTACTGGTTCCATATCCTCCACGTGCCCCAGAACTGGGCTGGATTAGAAAAATGCCTATTTTTCTTATATTGATGTAGAAACTCTATTTTCTCCCAAAGACACTATTTTTGCAGCTGTTTGAAGTTTGTATATTTTCCGTACTGCAGAGCTTACACAAAATTGAAGAAGAATGTTAATGTTCGAGTTTTCTTATCTTGTGTTTAGAGGTTGTTTTTTGCAGATCTTGTTAATAGACCAAATAAATAAGTATTCCCAGCAGCTTGGGTTTTGTTTTATATTTGGGGTAGGAGTGGGGTGGAGACGGAAGGTATTATAAGATCACTCCATCTTGTCTTCAAAAGATGCAGCTTCCATTTACAACACAATGCTGTGGGTCTAGATGCTGTATGGATGGGTTTTACTGGGGACCCTTCACAAGGATGCAATAACACACCTGAGGTCTGTTTCAAGTAGAGACAGCATGACGTCCCACAAGTGGATATAAGAGTTGTTGGGGGGCTGGGCTTGGTGGTGCACACCTTTAATCCCAGCACTTGGGAGGCAGAGGCAGGCGAATCTCTGTGAGTTCAAGCTCGGCCTGGTCTACATAGCGAGTTCCAGGTCAGCTGGGGCTACAGGGGGACCCTGTCTCAAAAAGACCAAAAAAACGGGGGGGGGGCTCATTGGTGAAGACAGGACATGAAGATGACCAAGGAAAGACAGTTTGACCTTGTGGGTACTCCCTGCCCTGGCAAGGGATGAGACCAGGGAATAGCATTCAGGTGGACTCTCCTGGGACAGCTATAAGGATGTTTTAGCTCCCACACCTACATCTCAGTGAATTCCCACACCATAGTGTGCAGCCCTGGAGAGAACAAAGAAGCTGCTCTTGTCCTTTCTTTCAGTGTAGTCCAGCACTGCACTGTAAGAGCTCTTAGGCTCTTGGGGAAAAGTGGGATAACCATCCCAACATTCTGATAGTGCATTGAATGTATAAAGCATTTCCACAAAAGACACAATTATTTCTATTCTATTGGGTGGAAACTTTACAACCTAAGGGCAGTCATAATGGGTAAAATTATATCTAGCTCAGAAGACCTCTGGACAGACTTGCAACCCAGGCTACCCCAACTACCATTCATGGGTTTGGTAAGCACCAGATACCATGTTTGGTGCTTTACATGAAATATCATTGGCAATATGACAACCATCAGATGAGAGAAATATGGTAAGTCCTACTGTGAATGAGAGAAGGTCGAAAGGATTGAATCACTTCCCAAAGGACTTACCAAGTGGGGGAGCTAGAATTGGAACCCTGACATTTCACTTCACGGCTGGTGCTTATTAGATTGCCATTGATTTCACATGAGGAAACTTGACCCCAGTCAAATTGTTTAAGGTCCCAGTTGGTAAATAGGCAGAACTGGAACTGGAACTCACGTCTCCCACCCAGCTGCTGTTTGGTTCCCTGGAAGTAAGCCAAGGGGCAACTGAGTAACTGCGTGGGAGATCCCTCTCCCCAAAACAAGACAGAATGGGGACAGACCCTATCTCCTTAGTCCTCCCACCCCCTGAAAGATGTCTGGCTTGTCCCCAAAGTCTTAGTGAGTCAGGTCCCCAGCGATGGGTGTGGTACTGCCCAGTGTTTCCTTCCTTTGCCTGAGGCTGTGCCAAAGGAGCCTGCTGCTAGAAGTGCAACCCAGAGACCAGCTGCTGCCTGGGAATTGTGCTGGTTATTAAGGGGCGGTGGTGGGTCTGAGGGTGGTAGCAGAAAGACTTTGTCTTGCTTTGGCAACTAGGGCCAACAGATGGAGACCCAACTCTTGGAGGAGGAGGGGTCCTAAGATCCACCCAATTATGGGAAAGGGTGGGGGGAATGTTTGCTCCATCGGTGAGTTGTAGGCCTTGCAGAAAACTCACTTCAGTACTTGAGAGGTGGTGGCAAGGACGGAGTTCAAAGCCATTCTTGGGTACATAGCGGGTTGGAGGCCAGCCTGGGCTACAAGAAACCCTGGGAAGAAAGAAAGAGAAGTCACTTCAATAAACTTGCATTTTCACCTCTAAGATGTGAGGAAATAAGATCGGCAGAGTTGAGAAAGAGTAATGACTATAATACTTGAAACTTGCACAACACACTTTACAGTTTATAAGACACTTTCACAAACCTTAGCTCATTTGATCCTAAGAACATTCAAGGGGTGACAATGTGGCTGTTACTAATTACCCCAGAATACTGTGGCTCAGAATTTAAGCAACACGTGTGGTCTGTTGCTGCTTGTAAGTGACAGGGGTGACACGTTCCACAGCCAGGCTTTGCAAGCCCTGTAGAGCGGGTTGGAGTCGCTGACGCTGGGCAGCAGCTAGAGGGCGCTGCAGCTCTATGAAGGATTCTCGGCGTTAGGGCCCAGCGGAGGCCTGGCCGTCGACCGCGAGAAAGACTTTGATTTGCTTAGCCGGTCGCACCGCCTCTTTCCCCGCCCACCTGTCTAATTTCTCTCCGTGCAGCCAATTGGTGACCTCCACATCCCTTTACGTCATCACTCCCCGCCCGCGCATCGCCTAGGCCTCCCCGCCGAGATCCGGGTCGTAGTTGCCCTCGGCGCTGCCTGATCGGAAAATCTCGAGGGCGAGGCTTTAACCTCAATATGGCCAGCTCCCCTGGCTAGCAGGAATGGAGCCAAGGTCCCAGGGCTGGCCTTCTTTCCTGGAACGCGGCTGCCTGGTTGGGAGGCATTTCCCTCTCGACAGCTCTGAGACGGCAGTACTGGAGGTGGCTGCTGGGCCCTACGAGGAGGCGGTCTCACGCAGCTCCTATGAGGCCCCTGCCGCCGGTCGGCGATGTCCGCCTGGAGCTCTCGCCTTCGCCGCCGATCCCGCTGCCGGCTTTGAGCGGGTCTCCGGCCGATTCGTCCGGGCATCTCATGGCCGCTAGCAGATCCCTGGTGCCAGACCGGCTGCGCCTGCCGCTCTGCTTCTTGGGTGTCTTTGTCTGTTATTTCTACTATGGGATCCTGCAGGAGAAGATGTGAGCGGACCCCAGGAGGGGCGGGAGCGCGAACATCCCCGCGGGCCCGGCATCCTGCCGCCGCCGCCCAGTTTGCGGCGGAGCCCTCCGGCCTCCCGTGTTCGGTCCCAGGCTGCCCCCTTCTTCCCTTTAACCCTCAGACCTTTCTTGCACTCCACTATTATGCATCCCCAGCTTTGAGTCCTTAAAATTCCCAAATGCTAGGGTTGGCCTCTGGATTGGGGGGACATGATTACTCTTTTTCCTTTAGATGTTTTTACCCTTGTTGGTTCCAAGAGCCTGGGCCTTATACCCATAGATAGGTTTCTGTAACCCGACAGCCAGCTCTTTCGAACTCCCAGCTGGTTGCAGAGAAAATCTTTTGCTCTCAGCCTAGTTTTCTCCTACCTCGGGTGCTTTATTTCACCAGCCGAGTTTCCATTTTATCCCTAGCTTTATTCTTCACGGATATTCTTTCCTTAGGCTATGGGATCAGTAGGCTTCGATGTTTAGTTTGTAGGGCCAGTCAAACCAGCCCCCTTTTGTAAATTTGCCCAGTGATCCTTACAAATTCTCCCTCTCCATCCAGAAAGGCACGATAATTTCAAAGCCCTCACTGGCCCTGGGCATACTAGGTGATGAACTGAGTGAAACATACTAATTTCTCCCATCTTTCTCATGCATTTCATTTTAGAACAAGAGGAAAATATGGGGAAGGAGCCAAACAGGAGAAATTCACCTTTGCCTTAACTTTGGTGTTCATCCAGTGTGTGATCAATGCTGTGTTTGCCAAGATCTGTGAGTATCTAATAATTTGTTGGGTGTGCCATTGGCCTCACTGCTATATTCTGGGCCTTAGGCATTGATTGATCTTTAAGGTCTCACTTTCCCTACGTCTCATCCCCTTGAGTATTAAACAGCCTCTCCGCAGTCTGTAAAGTTAACGACTCTGAAACCAGATTAAAATATTCTTTAAATTATACCAACTTTGAGTAAGAAATGAGTGGGTCTTCTGTGTTCCAGATCCCCATTGAAAATACTTAAAACATTTTTTCCATCGTCTTTTAAACTTTCCTTTCTGTCAGCTTCAGACCTATTTTGAGATTTCTTTGTTCCCCAAAGATTAGCAGCAGACTTAAGCTGAACTGAATGAATCCCCACATCCACCCTGCATGTGGTCTTGTTAGACTTAGTGGGAGCTAGAGAGATGAATAATTTTTAGAGATGTCCCAGTCTAAGAAGACAGAAATAGCTGTCTTACTTGACAGACAAGTTCCTTTCATGTAGCCTCAACTTTTGCTTAGCAGTCCAGCCTCACCCCACCAGGTTTCTCTTGTATGTTTTGTTTGTTTTTGTTTTATTTTTTTGTCTTCTCCCAGTGATCCAGTTTTTTGACACTGCCAGGGTGGATCGTACTCGGACCTGGCTCTATGCTGCCTGCTCTGTCTCCTATGTGGGTGCCATGGTCTCCAGCAACTCAGCACTACAGTTTGTCAACTACCCAACTCAGGTGAACTCTCAGGGTGAGATGAGAGTTGGCTCAGAAATTGTGTGGAAAGGATTAAGGGGTCTTTCCTCAGATCTGTGACTTAAAGAGAAACAACGCTAGAAGGGTAGAGATATAGCTCAGTTGGCAGAGTGCTTGAAGAAGCCTTGGGTTCCATCCCCAGCACATGCCCCAGTGTGGTGGCACTTGCCTGTAGCATAGAGAAGGTAGGAACATCAGAAGTTCAAGGTCATCTTTACCTACCTATGGAGTCCGAGGCCAGCCTGGGCTATGTGAGACCCTGTCCAAAAAAAGCAGCCCTGGGAGTATGTAGGACCGTAGAGTTGGGGTGATGGTTTGGGTCATGATGAGGCTGCTGCTTTCTGAGGCTGAGCTCTTAGGTACAGGCCTAGAATGTACTTTTAATATAGAACCTAGTACACTTGCTGCACATCACAGATGCTCAGAAATTATGTGCTCACTTTCATTTCAGGTCCTTGGTAAATCCTGCAAGCCAATCCCAGGTAAGCAAAAGAAGATGGTTTGCATCTTCTGTTCTCACTTCCTGGAGTGAATGTTCTCTCTCTCCCCTAGAGCTCTGTATCCCTTTGGATTTTATCATCCCATCATAGGTCTCTAGGGATTTTCTTGTCTTCTCTGTCACTTCCTGTGGTGTACACAAACTTGTGGGAGCCAGAGGTTGACCTTACTTGCTTCGGGACCTCAGTCATTTCAGTGTCCCCTGTGTTTACACTGTCATCTCACACCCTGAATCCTATTTGGGTCATCAGTTTCTTTCTTTTCACTTTTCATCTTTCCCCCCTTCTCCACCCTTGCCCAGTTCCTTCCTGGACCTTTGACTTTTGTCCTCTACCTTTCTCCACCTTATGCTCTACTCAAGCTTGTTGCTCAATCATCTTTATCTAGGTGCCAGGTTGGTACCCCTCCTCTCATCTTTTATAGGCCTTCCTTCTCCAACATTCTTTTTTCCTCAGTCTTGGCTCCCAGGAGGAAAGTCTTGGGGTCACTTATGCTGGTGGGGGCTGATTTGTTTTGTTTTGTTTTGTGTTCTGTAGTCATGCTCCTTGGGGTGACCCTCTTGAAGAAGAAGTACCCACTAGCCAAGTACCTGTGTGTATTGCTGATTGTGGCTGGAGTGGCTCTTTTCATGTACAAACCCAAGAAAGTCGTTGGGATAGAAGAACACACAGTCGGCTTTGGAGAGCTGCTTTTGGTATGCAGTCCTATTTCAAAGACAACCTTTTCTAGCAAATTCCACAAAGGACAGCCCCATCGAGGCCGGCAGAGAGCCAAAGGAGGGTCTGGTGTCTCCTATTGCTGATCTTTGCTGCAGAGTCCCTGGCTCTGCTGAGACCATGATAGGAAGCCTGAAATACTTAACCACTGCTGCGCTTTTCTGGAGACGAGTACTGCAAGGTCTGTGTTTAGATCCTGGTGTGAGTTCAGAGAGGCCTAAAAGTCAACGAGGAAGGAATGGTGTATAGCTCCCTGGATTGTCAAGCAACATGGTACCCTGAGTTGAGAAACAACAACTGTTGCTTATGTATTAGGCCCTATCTCCAAGTGTTTCACATATTAATTGATTTTCACAACAGCCTCCTAACACAGGTAGTGCTATCTCTAGTTTATTGATGAGAAAACAGAGGCCAGAGATAAAATCACTTGCCCATAGTCACACACTATTTAAGTGGCAGTCAGGACTCTAGTCCAGGCAGTCTGATCACTGAGCCTTGTCTCTGGAGCACAGTTCTATTCTCAGGTAGGAAGCTAACCTGTGGGGACTTGGCAGCCCAGCCTCAGCTCTCTGGAAGAATGTAGATGGCTCACCACAACCTGTTTCAGCCCCCTGTGCACCAGCTTATAGGCATTACATTGAGAAATAGCTTTCTGCTCTACTCTGATTGCAGTCCCATCATATGGCACAGTTAGCTTGTTCGCCTGCTGGAGGGACAACTAGCATGGTCTCCCCCTGTACCTCTACACTTCAGGCCACAGGCAGCTTTTGTTCTGAGGACTCTGTCTTTTGAGTTACTTGAGGGAAGAACCCTGTGTCCTGGGTTAAGGAGGGGCTCCGCTGGTCACCTCATGGCAGACTGCTCCTTTTCCTTTCCCAGCTCTTGTCTCTAACCCTGGATGGACTGACAGGTGTTTCCCAGGATCACATGCGGGCTCATTACCAAACAGGCTCCAACAACATGATGTTGAATATCAACCTTTGGTCCACATTGCTGCTGGGAGCTGGTAAGGAGCCACTCTGTTGTTCTTTCCCCAGATCACCAGAGGGCAGACTGCTCTCATCTGCTTATCTGTGGTTCAGCTGCCAGTTGCTAATTTTGTGCAGGCCAAAGGCCTGACTTGGTTCCAACACACTCTTCTGTCCAAGCCCTGAGAGACTTCCCTGGAAAGACCTGTGTTGACAAGGTCTGCTTGCTACCTGTTACTAACATTATAGGGGTAGACATGTGCCAGATGTTATGGGAAGACACACAGAACAATACCTGGGGGTATGTGAGGATGTTCCCCTTGTGAGGCAAATATGACATTGCTTATAGGGAACAGACTTGGAGCACACTGAATGGAGTTCACATGTGAATGCCTTTTCCTTGGAATCAGTTTTCCTAACTCTCAAATCTGGGCACATGTAGAAATTATTTTTCATGAAGTACACTGGGATTACTGAAGGAGACTGCTGGTGGCTAGAGGTGACCAATTCTAGGCGCCTCCTTGAGCTAGATACCTGTGGGTCTCTGTCTCTGCAACATTCAAGGATCTTTGCAATATGTTTGCACTCTGTAATCCAGGCTGGCCTGGAATTTACAATCCTCCTGCTTCAGCTTTTGAATACTGAGAACATAGGCTTGAGCCACCATGCTCAACATAATCACTTTGGTAGAAGTAACTGATTAACTTTGAAGTCTTTCTTAGAAAAATTCATTTTTTGGAAGAGTTAATTTTTGTAATCAGAAAAAAAAATACGAGAAAGATGCATGTCAGGCCAGTATAAACTCCATGTACCCTTCCTCACCCAGCCTCCTTTGTATTTAAGCTGCCTGTATGCCAGTATGGGTGTGTGCCACACTAGATACTTTGTTAACCTCTTGATGTTTCCTAGGAATCTTGTTCACTGGGGAGCTCTGGGAATTCTTGAGCTTCGCTGAAAGGTACCCGACCATCATCTATAGCATCCTGTTGTTTGGCCTGACCAGTGCCCTGGGTCAGGTGAGTTTTTTTGGAGGGGGCCATTTGGCTTCCCTCTGGTAGAGTTGGTTCCCTAAGAAAGACTGGTCTAACTAGAAGAAGAGGGTGGCTGCGTTAGCCCTGGTGCCTGTCTCTGGGACCTCATGGTGGATACCTAGGAACCTCACCCACCTTTTTCTCTCTTAGAGCTTCATCTTCATGACAGTTGTATATTTTGGGCCCCTGACCTGCTCCATCATCACCACAACACGGAAATTCTTCACCATTTTGGCCTCTGTAATCCTTTTTGCCAACCCCATCAGCTCCATGCAGTGGGTGGGCACCGTGCTGGTGTTTCTGGGTAAGTTGCACTCAGATCAGGTGCCTCTCTGGGCCACGGAGGGACACAAAGCTTTATAGTTATTTTTCTAAATTTTACTTATGCAGGAGATTTAGTTCACTATTTTAGAGAAAAGTTTACTAAAAGAGAAAAGGGAGCATTGTTTTGTATGTGACTTTCCTCCTGTGCATTCATTCATCTTAGTGAAGGCCTTCAACAGCATGCCTTTCCCAGATCCTTCCTTCCCGAGTGGAACAGAGCTGATGTTCCCTCCCCCTACCAACCTGTACAGCTTGATGCATGAACAGAGAGGAATAGCCCAGAAATTTTGATTCCAGTTTTCTTATGGTCTTGTGTGTGTGTGTGTGTGTGTGTGTGCGCATATTACCAGTATGTTGGTGATTTTTTTTTTTGGTGCCATTTTGTTGTCTCTTGAAGAAGTTATATAAAACTAGTGTTCTTGCTGGGCGTGGTGGCGCACGCCTTTAATCCCAGCACTTGGGAGGCAGGCGGATCTGTGTGAGTTCGAGGCCAGCCTGGTCTACATAGTGAGTTCCAGGACAGCTGGGGCTATAAGGAGACCCTGTCTCAAAAAAGACAAAGAAAAAACCAAACTAGTGTTCTGAAATTTTGGAGAACCAAGGCTGGCTTCTGTAAATCATCAGTAGGCTTTGTGTCCCCCATAAAGTTAAGCACATTTTCTCCTTTCCACAGGTCTTGGTCTTGATGCCAAGTTTGGGAAAGGAACAAAGAAGACATCCCACTAGGGAGAGAGAGACTTCCTCCACTCCAAGAACACTTAAGTTATTATCTCTGACACTGACATCTTGAGGACATGAACTCAATCTCAATGAGGGATTGGGTTCCAATCTTTTGAAAAAAAAAAAAAAAAAAAAAAACCTCAAAGGAAGCAAGATCGCATATTCTAAACAAAGCACTTGGATTTTTAACAAGACAAGTTGGTAATTTCTGTTTTTGCACAGTCTAGCACAAATAAAGAGAAGAAAGGCAAGCTTAGAGCTCAGGAGCCTGCTGCTGCTCTCTGGGCTAGGCTAGGCTTGGCGGGACTGGGCGATAATTTCCCCACAAAGTGCACATGACTGAGAGGAGCTTTGGGAGGTGGGATGGTTGTGCCAGCAGCCTCTGCTCCCACAGGTGAGCTCTAAGTATGCTAAGACAGGTGGTTGGCTGTTAGAGCCAGAGGATATAGAATCACTTCAAACCTCCATGGCACAAGTCACGAAACGCTAAAGATGTGTTCTAAAGGAACACCTTGAGGCTGAAATAGATCCAGAACCTCAGAATCTGCTGGGTTTTATCCTGTCTCCACTTCCACCCCTCAACCACAATTTGACTGAGAACCTGTGCATGAATCATGAACATATTTGGAAGGTCTGTGAATGTACTTTTCCTTACTCCCTCCCTCCAGCTCTCTGTTCTCAGTCCACCTGATCTCCTCCAGGGAGGAAGATTCATCCCTATTCCCCTGCCCCCTTCAGCCACTAAAGCATTGTGATTCTCTGCCATTCTGGCTGTGTCAAGCAAGGTGTCATCATGCCAGCTTCTGCCTGTTGAAAGGGATGCTGGCGGAAGGCATGGTGGCTGAGTTCTGGCACAGGGCCACTGTCGAGTGCTCTGGGTGGTAATGGGGGGAGGAGGAGGAGCATGGAGCAGAGCCACCTGCCTACTGCTGCCTTCAGAGCTGGAAATCACAATCCTCCAAGGACCAAACTTTACACATGAAAGTGCATTTTCACCAGCTGCAACTTTCCCTCCATCTGTTCGCGGCCCCCGCCCCTTGGTTCTCCAGATGGGAGCCTGGCCTCCTTCCTGAGTGCTGCCTTACCGCCCTGTCCAGCCTTTCAAGCACCTCCCTTCTTGGACTCCTCTTGCTCCCTAGGAGTCAGATATCACTGAATCCCTGCCCCTACATGCCCCCTGTTGAACACCTTCCTCTTGAGGGAAGTTTTAAATATATTTAACTGAGCTAACTTCCTTTCTCTACCCCTCGCTCTGCTATTTTTTATCATCCTTAGGGTTGTCAGCAAGCTCCTCTCAGCTACACTGACAGTTCTTGGGTGCTCTCCTGTGGATCAGGTGGGTGGTTAGAACCTGTTGGCAGGACTGGGGCCCCACAGGTAGCCATCATCTGTGTCTCCTGTTCTAACGAGACATCAGCTTCCTGGCCATCAGACTTGTCCCTTCCACTGCTTTCCCCCTGCCTTTTAGCTGTCTATAAAGAACCTAATGCTAGTCACCAAGACCAAGGTGGTTTCAACAGCTCAGCAACCTCTCATCTGCCTGGCCCTAGAGAGAGAGCTCATAGATCAGCTAGTCCTTCCAGTTGCAGACAGGGAGTCCAGTTCCTGGGAATTCCCTGGGGCTCCAGTCAGCTCATCCAGCACTCCTTTCTGGTGCCACCTACTGTGCAATGCTGGAGCTTCAGAGGTAGGTAGGACTGGACCTTGCCCTGGGGGCGGGGGGCAGAAGCAACCTATTTCACTTCCTAGTATTGGGTCAGAGAGTGCCTTTAACCTTGGGCAAGCTAAGGTTCTCATAGGGAGATAGGAAGGAAGGTGTCCTGGCAAGGTGAAGCTTGACTAGAGAGAGTAGGAAGATGAAAGCAGGGGCAGGTGGAGCTTTGACGCCACCTCCTAGCAGGAAAAGTTTGCAAATGGCTTGAAGCTCTCCTCTCCCTGTCTTCTGCCTCCCAAAAGTTCCGGAGAGAACCCATGGCAGGAGCATGGCTTTCATGCGAGTCTCCATTCTACTCCACTGAGGATACCCAAAAACTGTCTCATAAGTTGCCAGCTTGTTTTGCCTGGCAGATTTACCTGCAGGAGCATAGAAACAGAAAAGGACAGAGTTGACTAAACTCAGTTACTACTGTTAGATCATAACAGGCCTGATAATGAGAAATACCAGGCAAGTTCAGACAGGCGATGTTGATCTGATTGCTAACCCTGTGCAGCCAATGCCTCAGGTTTTGAAAGATCAAAGGACCTCCTCTGCAGTTAATTCTCAGGTACATACAGAAGGGAGGAACCCAGCCTGCAGACTTCCCTAAGTCCTGTGTTTTCACTATAGGCTGCATTGTACTTAGGTCTATTTTGGTCAAAACATCAGGGCTGCCTCCTGTTTGGCTCTTTGTGCTTAGGCTCATGACAAGCTTATTTTCCATTTATTTGCACCTCTTGGCCTATAGCAAGGACAGTGACCCACAAGTGCAGTTTGGGACACAATCCTGAGAAAAGCTATTCTGGAATTAAACATCAAGAAGAATAAACCAGATGTGGTGGTACACACCTTTAATCCCAGCACTCAGGAGACAGAGGCAGGTAAACCTGAGATCATGGCTAGTCTGGTCTACATAGGGAGTTACAGGTCAGCAGGAGCTACAAGGAGACCCTGTCGCACAAAAAAAAAAAAAAAAAAAAAAAAAAAAAGTGACATTAAAATTTTCTTTTTAATTTTGTTTCTTTGGACAGGGTCTCCCGTAGCCCAGACCACCTGGAACTCACTGTGTAAATCAAGCTGGCCTACATCTCACAGAAATCTGCCTGTCTCTGCCTCCAGAGTGCTGGGACTAAAGATGTGCATAACCACGCATGACATTTATTTTTATTTTATATGTATGAATGTTTTTCCTGCATTGAAGAGGCAGGCATTAAGTGTTACTGTGGATCATGCATAAGGAATGGGTTATATATTGTCACTGCCCTGTAATGCCCTTATAAAGGGCACTAAACAGCAGGCATGGTACACCTTTGGTTCCAGCACTTGGGAGCCAGAGGCAGGTTGATCTCTGTGAGATGGAGGCCAGCCTGGTCTACATAGTGAGTTCCAGGCCAGCTGTGACTACAGGGAGACCCTTCTCAAAAAGACAAAGGGGCAGCCGGGTGTGGTGGCACACGCCTTTAGTCCTAGGACTCGGAAGGCAGAGGCAGGTGGAGCTCGGAGTTCAAGGCCAGCCTGGTCTACATAGTGAGTTCAGGTCAGCTGGGACTACAGGGAGACCCTGTCTCAAAAAGAAAAAAAAGACAAAGGGGCTAGAGAGATGGCTCTGGTTAAGAGCACTAGCTGCTCTTACAGGACCCAGGTTTACACCCAAGCACCCACATGGTGGCTAGTGACTGTCTGTAACTCCAGTTCCAGGGGATCTGACGCCCTCTTCTGGGCATTGCACAGAATGGGTGCACTTACATGCAGGCATTACACCCATACACATAAAATAAAAATAATAATTAAAAAAAGTTTTTTTTTGGTCTTTTTGAGACAGGGTCGCCCTGTAGCCCCAGCTGGCCTGGAACTTGCTATGTAGACCAGGCTGGCCTCCAACTCACAGAGATCCACCTGCCTCTGCCTCCCAAGTTCTGGGATCAAAGGTGTGCACCATCACACATGGCCTATAAATAAAATATTTTTTTAAAAGACCAAAAAAACAGGGCTGGAGAGATGGCACAGTGGTTAAGAACACTGGTTGTTCTTGCAGAAGACCCGGGTTCAAATCCCAGCACCCACATGGCAGCTAACAACTGTCTGTAACCCCAGTCCCGGGGGACCCAACAGCCTCTTCTGACCTCCACGGGCATTGCACGACATGGGTGCATTTACCTACATGCAGGCAATACACACATACACATAAAATAAAAAATAAAATTAAAAAAGACCAAAAAAAATCTCTGAGAACCCGAGAGCAGGAAGGTGACCTGCAGGAGCTATCTTTGTATGTCCTCCCTTTCCAGTGTCTGGGTGTGTCCTCCAGTTCCAGTTGCCTCCTGGACCTAGGCTTTCAGAGGGAGGAAGCCCCTCAGGGGGCCCATTGCCTCCACCAGCTGGCTCCACTTGTTAGGGAACAGTTTGCAGAGCAGAGATGGTCATTTTCCCCAGGTGCTCTGGCAGAGAAATTGCCCTGTCTCTATGGGATCATTCAGCTCTTCCCATTGAAAACATACCAGCTGTCTTCAGAACAGTGAGCTCACATGTTTATAGTGCTCCTGCTTTCCTCAGGCTCTTTAGGCTGTGCCATTTTATTCTTAAGACACTCCTGGGGAGAGCTTGGGCCAGAAGCAGCCTCCCCGCATTTGGAATAGGAAGCCTGAAACATCGAAGTGTATCAGCTAAAGGTCGACTCACTCTGAGGGAGGGTAGGAGCAACCTGTTCCATTTCCCAGTATTTGATCAGAGAGTGCTTTAATCCTTAGCAGACTAAGCTGGTGGATCCCAGCTGTTTGGACTTTTCTAGAAATTCCCAGAACTTCGAAATGGTACGCATAAGCTCACACAAGCATACATACATACACACACTTTTTTTTTTGTCTTTTTGAGGCAGAGTCTCCCTGTAGCCCCAGCTGGCCTGCAACTCACTATGTAGACCAGGTTGGCCTTGAATTCACAGAGATCCACTGGTCTCTGCCTCCTGAGTACTGGGATTAAAGGTGTACGCAATCATGCCTGGCTGATATGCTGCCTTTTTTTTTAATTATTATTTTTATTTTATGTGTATGAGTATATTGCCTGCATGTATGTGAGTGCACCCGTGTGATAAAGTGAGGATGTTAGTGTAGTGTGGTGGCCAAGGTATCTAATGCCTTCTGGCCTTCATGGGTACTGCACTCACACACACACACACACACACACACACACACACACACACCAACACAAACTCTTCTTGTCTTTACTTTTCAAATGCACCACCATGCCTGACCCCATTTTAGTTCAGAAAAGAACATTTTAACTAAAAAAAAAATAGGAAAGGTTATCTTCGTCCAAAGAAATTAGAAGTCACACCACTATCTTAGTGATAATTTTTCAATTGCAGAAGATATTCAACATAAAATGTTATTCTCTATAGACAGGCCTGGTGGCATTAGCCTCTCATTTCATCTATTTGTGAGGCAGGAGGATTGCAAATTCAAGGCCAACTTGGGCAAGGTAATGAGTCCCTGATTCAAAAGAGCCAGGCATGGTGGCCATGCCTGTAATCCAAGGACTTGGAAAATGGATACAGGAGGA